TAGGGCAGAGGCAGTAACTTCTTGAGCATTGTTTTTCTATCCCCCATCCCATTTATATGGTTGAACTGTAGCTACAACTAGAGAAAAATGTGGTTGAACTGTAGCTGCAACCAGAAAAATCAGAAGTTACATCACTGCCACTGAAAAAAAGCAGACTAACATTTTCAAGGTCTGTCCTTAAGTCAAATTTGTATGTAAGCTGGAACAGTATTATTGTATAATACTGTATAAGTGGTATTGTGTAATGAACTTGAATCACTGTGTATTTAACTTAAATTTTGCTACAATAGGCTCTGTTCTTAACTATGGGTTATCCTTAAACTGGGCGTTCTTAACCCGAGGACTACCTATAGTTTCTGCCTTTTAGGATTGATAATCCTAAATGGGACACGGTGGCACAGGGCTTAATGACGCTGGAGTTTGCTGGCCAGAAATGGTTGGGACTCCAGCGGTTCGGGCCCGGCTCCGCGGGACGGGGTGAGCTCCCGTCTCTTCTCCTAGCTTCTGCTCACTCAGCAGTTCGAAAGTAATTCCATCTGTGAGTAGATAAATGGGGACTCCCGTCTAGTTGGGAGGAACCGGCGGTGCTGCACAGGGGAGCAAAATACCGGTGCTGGACCGAACTCCGAAAGCAACCGGCACGATCGATGATCGTTGGGAGCGGCGAGAAAGATCTACGGAGCAGGAAGAGCCCGGATGACCCCTAGCGACCACTGCTGGTCACATAGTGTAATAGTGTAATAGTGTATCACTAAATTTGTAGTGTAAGAATTTGTAACTGTAAGAATTGTTAGTCACCGTTAGGATTATATACTTTGTGAGCAGCCCAGAGTTCCCCATTGGGGGAAATGGGCGGAGAATAAATTGAATGTATAAATAAATAAATAAAATCAAATTCAAATGATCCAGCAGTAAAAAATATGCCACAGACTAGCCTGTAATGAAGGTCTTTGAAAGGATATTCAACCATGGTATGTCTATACTAACAAAGACGTTTAGGTATTACTTTTCCCTGTGACCTTTTATGGAAGCAAAAGTTGGACTTGGAAGAAAGTTAGATAGGATATCAACATATGTGAACTCTGGTGCTGGAGAAGACTTTTAAGGATGCCATGGACACCCTGGAAAACAAAACAAAACAAAAAATGGATCAGAAAACAAATTAAGCCAGAATTCTCACTCAAAACACTAATGACCAGGTTCTGATTATTATGTTATGGACACATCATGAGGAGACCCAGTTCTTTCAGAAGTCCATAATTCTTGGAAATGTTAAAGGAAAAAGAGGAAGGTCAGAAAGATTCAGCAGGTCATTCTGAAGAGCATATCCATGTGGTATTGATACCAATCTGATATCAATCAATCAATCACTCAATCAGCATTTTCAATTCTTTCCTATCTTCTAGTACTATCAAGCAGTGTAAAGTATGCATGATGACCTGTATTGCAGATTTCCCAGCACCAGCAAACTGTTCCTGATGAATGAAGAAAAGTGGGGAAAATCACAATGCAATGCCATCAGTTTACATGTTTTACACTAAAAGATATTACTGGTAAAACGGAGGAGTGCTGTTTTCGATAGCAGTCATCCAGTCTGGATAATACTGTTCTAAAATGGATCAACATATTTGTGATTGCTGCTAGCTCCAGCTTTATCCAGATTTTTCATTTCAGGTAGGGCTTTTAGGAATAATGTGAGAATCAAACTACACTTAAGTTTCCCAGTATATGCTTATTCTGTGTATTTCACAGATACTCTACTCCTCCATCTGTAGGTCCCAAGGTCTTTGCTTATAAAATTTAAAAAATGTAAGAATAAAATAGATTAATAGCAGTAATAGAAGGAGGTTAAGTATTTATAATTGGGTCAAGTTCGTCTCCATTTTTTCTTGCAACTTTTGTTGAAAGATTATATGTTCTGAAAGTTCTATTAAAATAAAAATGCAGAGGTGAACACTGCAGCTAGTATCAGTTCGGGTTAAAGGTACAATTTATGGAGGTTAGAAATGCAATCAATTAGAAGTACAGTGGGGTCAAAAGCTCAATCAAATAAACAGAAACCTTATATGGCTGATTGGAGGCAGAATCACATTTTAACAATACTTGCCATCGGTGGACAAAGTTTTGTGGGAGATAGAAGAGGTACTTATTCTTCATTTATGAGAGTTCCAAGACTTTTAATGAAATTGACTATAAGGCAGGAGGAGGGAACCCCTTCCTGTTGCTGAATCCTACCTCCCATTAGTTCTAGCAGATGATCAGAAATAATTGGAATTGTTGTTTAAGAACTTCTTCAGGGCCATGCATTATCTAGATAATGTAAAGATTTAGAGCTTGAGCTTGCAGGGTTTTTTGGAGTAACAAAATATTTGTGGGTATTTTTTGTTTTCCCTTTATGATTCATAAAGTAGAACATCCCATGAGTAATCTGCTTTGCTTGGTTTTTAATGCATTATTCAATCT